TGTTTTTTTCGTATTGCGATCTGTGTGCTCTGCTGTGGCCTTTTCATTAGCGCAGCCACGGCCAGGCTATAGATGGCTTCAAATATGGCAAACATGCTGCACACGCTCCCAGTCTTTGAATCCGATTCCAATATCAAGACATTTCACAAAGCGTTCTCTTTGGCGACCGCACGTTAATTGCCAGCGTTTTTCATCGGACCAAAGACTCGACTCGTCCGGACCAGACCAGACTAGACTAAATAACCAGCTATCCAGCTGTTTCCATCACAAATGGCTAAAATGTTCTTCAGCTCTTCAAGATAAATAAGAAGATGGAGCATACGGCTTATGTCAGCTGACTTGGAATCAACTAAGATTAGAAGAGAAGCCTCTAAAGTAGATAGATAGACTCGTATTTCTCTATAAATATTGAATTGTGACTCAGTTTATGCATAAGATAATATTGAATCTTAGGATAAAAAAGTTACAAAAAATTATATTAAATATTTGAGACCAAAATAATAAAAAAATTAAGAATTTAATTTATTTGCTAAATCAAATTAAAAATAATAGCAAATAAATTTATATAAAATTAATTTATCAAAATTGCATACTTTTTTTTAATTTTAATTTATCAATTTATAATTTTAATTTTATAGCAGTAAAAATTGTATTTAAAAAATTTATTTTAGATATATACAATGATGAAATTGTAAATTTAGACATTCAACACATTTAGTTAAATCTCTGCTTGATTTTATTATATTTATAAAAAATGATCTCTGTATCTTTAATAACCCTAATAAAATCAAAATGTAAATTTAAATATTTCAATTAATTTTGTTAATAATTGGTTTTCATTGATTGAAGTGTATCAATAAATTAAATTCATTCAAAATGCAGCGTAGTTCGAGTTCGCTCTGTAAAAACTATTTTGTTAAAAATAATTATGAAATCAAACAGCTATAAAAGGCATTGCTCCAAAAAACATAATGCATGAATGTTCAGCCTTTATAATTGTTAATTGTTATACAAAATAATAAATAAGGGCCAACATTAATCAATAATAATAATTTGAAAGTCGAGAGTCGAAAGAAATACTTAATTTGGAGACGGACTCGTATTGATTTTGCCGCATTGCACTCGATGGCTACCGCTAGTCAAGCCCTTACGAAATAAAAGATCTGTTGGCTGCTGACTTCCCACGCTGAAAAAAGCAGCATTTTGGTTGTGGGTGCGAAGACATAGCGAGATAGAGTTCAAAATAATTTCAGAGTTATTACAGTGGGTGCTCACAAAGAGCGAAATAAAAGAAAGTCAGGCAGGCAGGCTAGGCAAGCAAGCAGGCTGGCTGGCAATTGCACAAGAAGTTGAACAACAATTGCTTGAGTTGAACCATAACAGCCGACAGACAAAGAGAGTGAGGCAGACAGACGGGCCGAGAGACAGTCAGCTGCACAGATGTACGCTAACCGTTATTTAACAGTTATTTAACATGCAATTAACCTGGCCATAGTTACTTAAAAAAGAGAGGAAAAATGCAAATATATGGATCGGGCCAACCTGAACTCCATAGCCTATCTGGCTGTCTAAATTTTATGGTGCAATAACTTTCTAGCCAAACCTCCCAAAGACTCCACAGCTTGGACTCGAACTCTCTCGGACTTGGGTCATTCATCTTAATTATCACACGGCCCAGAAAAAACCAAAAATAGTAGTAGTAGTAGAAGAAAAGAAATGTAAAATGGGAGAAAGAAGAAAATAAGAAAAGCCTTTGAAATTAAAGCAAAATGCTGCTTTAATGGTCTTGGAAATTCATTAGGCCCAGCCCAACTCCGACCAAATATGATCGCATCCCCGGACTAACCTCCTAAAACACAATCCATTTGCATTTCATGTCTTAAGACAAAGATCTGCTGTCCAAACATCAAAGTTGTAGAAAGCTCAACGAAGCCAGCTGTGGCTAGACCATCCGTAGAAATTATTCCCACCTTTATAATGTTCTATTCTCTTTCCATTTATATCTTTTTGCGTTTTCTGATACCCTGGACATATTTTTTAAGTCGAGCATGATGAACTCTTGGGAGTGAATATGTAGTGGGCGTTACATAGGTTGGTTGACATATTTATATTATATCGAGTATATGTAAGGAGTAGAAATGTTACAAAAACTAATGATAGATCATTAATCAAAAGTTCTTATTCAAATATATAACAAATCAAATCTGACATACATAGATAATTTGCCAATTATTTATTTAAAGGGAAATTTATAATTTATTGTATAATAAGAGAACCTTCCCAACAAAAATTATTATTATTATTTTTGTCGATTTGCCTACTACTGAATAGTTAATATTGACTAAGAGAGAGAACAAGAATTTTGGAACTCATTGCAGGGTATACTTCAGTATAGCACTCTACTAATCAAGTCAGCCTCTTTTCATCTTTCTGTTGTTTTGAATGTTTAATCACCGGAAGCTATCTCCCGGAGCATCTCTAAGCAAGTGAAGCTGAAGCAAACGCAGAAGCAGAAGCTGAAGCAGACACGCTTAATTACAAAAGCCGCGTCTCCGTTTCCAGCTGTGCATTTTTTTGGTTTTATTTTATGTTGTTGTTGATTTCAGATAAATCTATTTTCGTAGTGCTCCAATATATATGAGCTGTAATCGTATTCAAATTCGTTTCGTAGTGTTTGATTCCATTTCCATTTCTCGTTTTGTCTGTCGTCTGCTGCTTTTTAGTAGTGCCAATTAGACACGTTTGTTGCTCTGTTGTTACATATGACTACCGACATTTAGATCAGTTCTAGAGTTCCATCTATGCTCTACCTCACTCGCTCTCTATCATTGCCAATAAGTCACTGGAATAGTAGCTAGCGTGGCGGCTGATATTCAAATTAATTAACTGTGAAGCATAATGTCGATGAAGTAGTTATTGATATTGTTATCTAAAAGATAAGGCTCTGGGATGACTAGTGTGTATAGATGATTCACAGTTTGTAAAATGAGTTATACATAATGAGAATATACATAATTTTCTATTGAAGATCTATTGAAACTAAATGTTTTAAATGGTTAATCAGCTTCAAGTAAAAATAATATCGTTTTATAAATAACATTAAATACTGATATACACACATATATATATATATATATATATATATATATATATATATATATATATATATATTGCTGTCTCCTCCTCCTCCTTGTCGACGTAAAAACCTTCCGTTTTGAGGTGTAGAAATTGCTTAATGGAATATCAAATGTAAACGAAAAGTCGTGATCTAGAAAACACAATTTCTACACACGCATTGTAAAATGTTTGTCTGCATGTTTTTGTTTTCTGTTTTTCATTTTTCGGAGTGCTTAGTCGTGACCCTTTTTTCTGTCCCTAACTGGAAAACAATAAAACCTTCCGTTTGTTCAAGATGTTAAAAGTTAAAGTTTTCTATAGAACAAGCAACAATTGTTGACTTTAAAGTGAAGAAGTGTAAGTAATATAGACAACATATAAAATGAAAAATAATAATAAGCCATAAAAAACTATTTTTATAAAATACTGATTTTATATAGGCATATTAATGTAAATATTTCATTTAAAAATGCGAGTATAATTCTAACTAGAATTCAACGGCCCTTCGAATCGGATATTTTATGCGCTAGTCGAAGTCCTATTGGTGTATAAGTATTTGCTGATCCAATTAGAATTCAGTGATGCCAGAGTGGTTGATTTACAATTACTTTTTGGCATAGACTAACATACGTATATACATATGCATTTGCATACAGACTTTAATTTAATTGGATTGTTTTAACAGATGCAATAAATAAACTCGTTATTTTAATTTTCACACTCACCTGCTTAATGAAATTAAACGGCGGCATTTTGTGCACTAATTTGTTGCAATTATTGCTTTTGTTATTGTTGTTTTGTTGCAGTCATGCAAAACTACAAACCGCAAAGCAAAATGAAGAGCGCAAACAAAAAACGCTGCAAGCGACAAATGCAGCTGTTTGTTTTTATTGCTGTAGTTATTATGCTTATTGCGTATGTCTCGCCAGCATAAAATGACTTAAAATCGCTCCTCAATTACAGCCAAACAGCAATCATCAGCAACGAATTAAACAATTTTAATCTTTTTCGCACTCCGTTTGCGGTCTGTCACCAACTAACACAAATGCCGCTGCTTATTGTCGCCGCTCCGCTTTTCTAGTTCGTTTTTCGCAAATTTACCGTTGCGCGCGCGCACACACACGCACACGACAGCGTGCGAAGCCGAAAGAAAGAGAGAGGGATATTGTATTGCGCGCGTGCGCTTCAGTGTGTTAGTACACAATGTATGCAATTAAAGTTTGAGCTGCTGTTACTGTTTGTTTATTATTTTGTTTCTTTTTTGCGTAATTTATATTTTCTTCTGCGAAAATTGTGCAGCGGAAATAAAAGCACGCCTGTGTTTACTTTCCAAACAAATTAACCCGAATCGTAAACGGAAGCTAGAGCCCCACCAATCACACAAAATTTGAGCAGTAATTGTTAATGCGTGAGCGTCAGAGCGATGGCTTAACCTGCGTAAGGTCGGCTTATGACTGAGCGCGTACACAGCGCACGAACTTCAATTGAAGCGCGGCTTCGTCGCATGTCAAAGCAGCGACGGCGACGGCAACGTCGGCGCTTCAGTATTGTGAGCCTTTTGGGCAGAGCTAGAGTGTGACCAGTGTGTGAGTATGTGAGAGAGCTGCAATTGAAGCGCGGCTGCAAGCAGCGCTGTCGACGACGAAAGTCGATATTTCGTGACCCTTACCGCTGTGAGAGAGCTCCAAAACAGTGACGCCGACGTGGATTTTTTGTTACCCCTTTGGACGAACTTTTTATTTTGGTTGTTGGAGTGTGACCATTGCACATGAATGTGTGAGTGAGCGTAGTGTGAATATTTAGAGTTAGAGTGTGTTTGTGACTGCCAAGTGTGAATATCGCGTGTGTATGTGTGTGTTATAGTTCTGGGAACTTCCCGCATGTTGTTGCTGTTTTGTTCTTTTATTATGTCACACACTGTGAAAACAAAGTCAGGCAATTAACACATCGTATTGTGACGTCACTCGTCGTTCGGTAGCTGGAGCGGCTGCTGATGTCGATGGTCGCGCATTAGCATTAGAATGCATTCCCTGACTAGGACGCGTGCATGTGCGATGTCACGCAACAAACGCTCCTTTGGAGCACGCAAACCAATTGCCGTCGGACCCAGATTCCTATGCATTTCCGCAATGACTCTCAACAGATTGTCATAGGTGTCCACAATATTGCCGCTGTTCCCAGAGTTGTCGGCTTCGTTGCTGGGCACTTGGATTTGATTGCCTGGCAGGCCATAGAACAGCTCTCCAAATCCATTGTTGTTGGACATCAGCTGCAGCTGCGCCTGCACATACTTCGTGTACTCCAGCTTGGCCAACACCTGTTGATATTCATTTGAATAGGCCGCAGCCTCCTGGTTTAACTTTAACTGCTGCTCCTCCAGTTGATGGGGGTGCTGCTGTTGCATCACCATCGAATTGCCTGGCGCACTTGACATGCTTATTGGAAAGATTTCCACGCGGTCAGCCGGCATCATTTCCGCTCCGCCTCCTCCAGCTACATCGCAACAATCTGGTAGAGTTTCTTGTTCCTCCACAGCTTGTGGCTTGGCGGGCACAGCTGTGACCGTTATATCGCTATATCTGGAACGAAAAGAGTCTAGATCCAAATAATCCATTTTTCATCAAATTGTACGATTTGTATTTCTCAAATAGCTTTGATATGTGCTTGTGGCATGGCTTGCTATTTTTCGAGATTTTGGCTTTAGGTTTACATTAGACAGATGACAGCCCAGTCGTAATAAAAAAGGTTTACTAAACTAGAATATTTGATCTTATATCTCGGTTCTCTCCACCAATTAGCACCTACTGTAATACAGATTTTGAATTTAAATGGAATGGATAAAAGACTTAATAATGTTATATTTAAAATTTTTTTAATATATATATTTTGTTATTTGCACGTAGTTTCTACTTGGATGGTTCGCAAAAAATGCCAGCTTTTCAATAACAATCGTATTTACTTCCTTCTTAAATTGGAACTCCAATCGGAAGGGTCATTGCAAAGTTCAGCGTGTGAGTGAAGGAGAGACGTAGAGAGAACGGCAGAGAGAAGGTTCGGTTACGCTAGCCACCTGTGTTTCCGCATATCTTATTTTAGGGTCCAAATGTGACGTGCGGGTAATTATCACAAGCAGAACAAAACTCGATTCATAAACAGACCAGTATATGCCAACGGCATGGAGGGCAGAGACTGCGACAGAGGCAGAGAGCGCAGCAAAGGCAAAGAGAGAGTAGTAGAGGCGCCTGTAGTAATAAACGTAGAGAGAAACAGTGGCAGAGGAAGCAGCAGAAGAGAGGAGTCCAAAGCAGAGCTAGTGACAGTGGCCAGCGGTAGAGGCAGAGGCCGAAGCACTGACAGTGGAAAACGGCAGAGGCAGAGGCAGAGAACGGCGGCCAGTAGGAGGCACTGAAGCGTACTTCCCGTATTCGTGCAACCCCCGCGGTAGCATGACGCATACAATTCAAAAGGCACCTATTAGTTGTTCTTTCTATTTCAGTATTCTTCTTTCGTTGTTTTCCTAATCTCGGTATTTGCTAGCCAGAATTTACATATTTGAAAAGTTTTAACAAGTGTACAAAAAAAAAAAAAAAATTTGAATACTACGTCAGATTCAGGATCGGTTTTCAGTTGCTATTTTGTTGCTGGGCACGAATGATCTCTTTGATGTCACGCTGCGTCTGTTCGCCGCACTCGAAGCGATGGTAGTCGACAATCTCGATGGCATTCTCTTTGAGCACTTCGCCAACGGTTTTGTCCGCATCCAATAGATACTCCTGATGTATGAGGCATGTCTCATCGTCCTTATTCTCGGCAGGTAGGTCCTTGCCATACTCGCCCACCTTAAGCGGTTTCATGCCCACAATTTGCTGGCATATGCCCTTCTGGATCTCATGATCGTCGACATCCTGCTGCGAGCGGAAGGCAACAATCGCTCCGTATTTGCCCACCTGTGTGATATTCTGTGTGGTGCTGACATTCGTTGGCGCCGGATGTGCATAGCCCGCTAGCCTCAAATCGTTGTTCACCTTGAAGCAAAGAGCACGTCTAATGCTAGCATTCTCTCCCATCGCTCCAATCAGCAAAGCCAGATGATCGGCCAGCGATCCGCCCTGAGGCGTCTCCAAGTTCTTCAGTGCATCCGCGTCGAAACCAAGCTGTAAATGAAATTTATGAATATGAATGTAATCTGAATTAAAATATAGAATATATATAACAGAATTTATGAATATAATCTGTTAATGTGCTTGGCGTTAGATTTGATAAAATGCTAAGTGCCTCTTCTATAGCCGCCCATCTTCATTACCTTCCACAGATCGCCGTCGAACTCTGTGAGATCAGTGTAGTGCAAGACAATGCGTGATACATGATCCACAAAGCGTTTGAAGGTATCGTTGCGTGCCACAAAGTCCGTCTCACAGTTGAGTTCGACCATGGCACCGCGATTGCCGCTGACAAGAATGCCGACTAGACCCTGTGTGGTGACACGATCCGATAATTTTGTGGCCTTGGACCAGCCCAGCGACTGTGCCTGTTCGTGCAGCCATTTCTCTGCCTGAATAAAGAGATATTAAGTAACTATTAAGTTGTATATATGTAACGGTGTGTTCCCACCTGTGTGACATCGTTGTTATGCAATGCAAGCGCCTTCTTGCAGTTGGCAAACGTGTACCCTGTCTTTTTGCGCAGCGTGGAGAGGGCGCTTTTCTCCAATCCAGCTCCTGCGCTGCACAACTGGCGCGTGGTATGAAAAGCATGTGCCAAAGCTTTTTGTAGCAACATTTTGACTTTTTTTTGTAGTTTTTTTTTTTCCTGTGAATTTGTAACTTTTGACCAGTTGTGGTTTATTTGATTCGGAATAGGAAATGGCGTTACTTGTTGCGCTTGGCCTGCTGCCAGGGACGACGGAGATTTTTGTTGCTTTGTTTTTCTATAAAACAAAATTTGTTTAATCAATTTTTGAATTTCAATGTAATTTGCATTTCTTTTCAATACGTTGGTACGTTGGTACGTTGGCGCACACCGGTTGTGGCTCTTTAGAACAGTGCAAAGAAATTGATAACAATTGTAAATATTACAATTGCTTATTTTAATAAACTAATTGCCAGTAAGTTGAATGCTTTGCATGTTGATTTGCTTGTGCAATACTTTGTTTCCCGTATTTAATTATAATTTTTTCGGCGTTTTTTAGTGTGTTTTGCGGTCACCGGCTTTTTGCCTTGCTATCGATTTGATAGCTCAAGGATAGCGCTGCTTTTACAATTAACTAACTGAAAGTAAGTCGAATTACATATATGCTTGTGCAATACTTAGTTTCCATCAATTGACTTTAAAATCTTTTTTATTTGTATGTTTCTAGTACCTATCGACATACCTATCGATTTGACATTTTAGACATATGTGCTGCTTTCGATGAATCGAAAGCATCACTGAAAATATTTATACTCGATAAAAAAAAATATTTTTGACCAGAGCTGCCACCTAGTCGCTGTTGTTGCGCGCCAACTTTGAAAACAGAACTTAAGCAAGATGGAAAAACCAAACCCAAACAAGAATATACCCAGCTTTACGTCTGTTTGCGGCGTGCACCGCATCTGCAGCAAATCGAAAATGCTATACACCCGCCCTAAGCCAGATGTACTTCAAAGCATTCTACAGTCCAAGGCGAATGCGGATTACAAGTCACGTCGCTTGTGGTACGAGCTGAATATGCCCGAATGTACCAGCCACCTGTTCGATGGCCAAATGTTATCCGACATGCCCGAGAGTTTGACCTGTGCGAAGTCCCGATCGCGTCGCAAACAATCCGAAAAACCCGATGATAGCGATCTCAAAAGTAAAGCTGCTTCAAATTATATGGTGATGCGGCAGGAGCGCGAGCATTTCCGCACAAAGCTCGTGGAGCTGATCTTGCACATGGACGATGATCAGGAGGGCAATGAAAAGCAAGACTCCTTTCCCGATCAATCCGAGCGCGAACTCTTACGCTATTACTACTTCATCAAACATGGCATCGACACTATTCACGTCTCCACCATCAGCAAGAAGACTCTGAAGAGGCAAGTTCCTCCTTTTCGAAGTCTACTTATAATATATATACTCAATGTATGCTTTGCAGAATTGATAATTTGGTGCCGGTCCTCTTGAAGAAATGGGATTCAGCTTTCGTCGAGAATATTGCCGAGGTGCGCTCCGACTATGTGTTTGCCATGAAGAAAGCTGTTGTCGATTTCGTTTTGCGTCATTCGGTTTTAGACCGCTTGACTCAGGAGGGCGCCCCACCTAAGTTCGATACGGCCGAGAGACGTGAAATTGAAAAACTAATGAACCATTTTCGATATCGGTAAGCTTAGACTTTATTTTCTTGAAAAGTTAATTTTGCGGGGGCTGTTTGTTTTTGCTGAAAATGAAAACTTTTTTTTTTTTAACTAATTTGCTTTTTATATTTAATTTTTTGCCATCTATATCAACTTAAAAATTAAAATTTGATTTTATTTTTGTCTTGCGCATTTTTTGAGAAGTTTCCATTTTTCCATTTTCTTGTCAGAATTGACAAGAATTTAATTCTGTGATTCTCATTACGATTCAATGATTATTATTCAAGTTAATATTATTTTTTTCAATTTCAATTTATTTCACTCTTTGTTGTTTTTCTTTTTTTTTTTTTACTTTATTTTATTAAAATTTTTTTTATACAATATATGTTTCTTTTTTTTTATATTCATAAAAAAAAAAAAAAACGTTAGAAAAATAAGTTTAATCAATTGCTCATGATATTTCGGCTTCTTATATAACATCAACTTATGTATAAACCATTTTTTCTGGGTTAATTTGTTTTTAACGTTCGAAACGCAAATCGTTTGCTTGGCAATTGTGAGATCCTTTAAAGTCGTTAAAAAGTTTTCCAAATTGAAAGGGAGTTTATAATGCCATGCAAGTGACATGCAATTACACACACGCAGACATATACACACATATATGCAGATACACACTCTCTCTTTCTCTCTCCCCATTGAAAAACGCAAACTTCATTCAAAACGAATTGTTCTGGCGCTAAATTTGATAAAATAACTTGACAATAAGTCTCATATATATGTATATATGTACATTTATATATAGCATATATATAATATATATAGTAGCTGGTTGGAAAAGTTGTCGCGACTTTATTAAGAGCTGCCAGCCATGGGAAACGCGAGAAATCGCTTTGCGTCGTGCCAAAAAACTTTTTAACCGCACTACAATGGCTGCTTCTGCGGAAATGGAAAACCAGCGGGTACCCCCAAAGGGGTGGGGGCGTGACTGCTAGGGAGTAGCTATTGCTTTGTAGAGCAGGCGTGGCAGCCGCATCAGCCAAAAAGAAGCACAAAGTGAAGAGGAAGAGGCATGCTAAGAAAAAGTTAAGTTCTCCTGTGTATTGGTTTGACATTTGATGAGCAACAGTAAAGCTTCTGCCAGGAGTTGCTTCTAGTGGGACGGTGGTTGCCTGTGGGCGTGGCAGACATAAATTGTAAAAGAATATGCTTAAAAATGAATTGAACTTGCCGTTGAAAGTGTGCTGTATGCGGGGAGGGGAGCACCCGGTCAGGGCAAGGTGTGGCGCGGTCAAAGGGCAAAAGTTCTGCTGTGCGGGGGAGGTGGGAGGAGTTGTTGGAGCTTTTCTAATTTATAGCCAAGAACATTTGGCTTCATTAAAATGTAGGGCAAGTTGGGCGTAGGCGTTTTCGCCTTGGACCAATGCGCTGCCTAATGGGCCGTGTGAAAAGCAGCTCAACAGAAAAGTTTTTGCGAGCTCTCAAGATTTGCATGAAAAGAAATGGTTCAATGAAAAACTTTAAGCAACTTGATAGGCTCAAGCAGAAGATGTTGCATTAGCATTGTTAGAATTATTAGCATTATTATTAGCTATTATTATAATAGATTGATTTTTTAACTGTCATTACTATTCGCATTACCATTAGCATTATTATGGGCATTATCATTGGCATTATAATTATAATTATCATTGTCGTAATCATATTTCATTATTATTACTTCTCTTATTACCATTGCATTCGCGTTAGACTTATTACACTATTAGCATTGGTATTAGTATTAGTATTAGCATTAGTATTATCATTATCATTAGCATTAGTACAAGCACTAGCACCTGGATGAATATAAAATTCTCTAGAAATTTTAATTTTATAACCTTTTTAACCATCTCAATGGTAATTTAATGAATTTTCCAATACAATTTATTTGCAGCTATGATGAGAATCGCAATCGCCTGAAAACTACATTGTTTTCCATACATCGCAGTGTGGCCAGCATTTTGGAAGTGTGGAGCTTGAAGTACAGCAACAAAACCTTGGTCAATATTGAAGAACTGAGCAAGGTCGAAGAGCCCTTCACATTATTCAATTTTATCGTGAGTTGCAGTAGTACAGAAAATTCAATTTGTTGAGCATACCTTAATTGAGTTCCTCTGTGTGCATTCGTGCACACAGTATTTATGCGGCATTCACATCGAGAGTGGCAAAGCCATGCTGGAGGATGTCTGGTATGGGGAGATACACACAACCTTGTTAAGGGCCAGCAAACGTGGCCAGTTGCCGGATATACGACGCATGACATTGGTCAAACGATTCTTCAACTGTGTAGCCGCTCTGATGACCCAGCAGCTCGAGGACATTTGCATACGCAGCCTTAAAGCCTTTGCCGATTACGTTTGCGATTTTGGCGTAAGTATCTGAGTGACTAGAATAGTCCAAAAATCTTCAATAAGTAATCACTGAGCTTGCTAAGTCTCAGTGGAGCTTTGGCCGAAAACTAGCTCCAAATGGTCTCACGAACTGATTTTAATAAAGCAACTCTTCAAGGGTCTTGCGAGGAATTTTTTTCTAGTCCGACTTCTATTTATTTCCGTAGATGTATAAGGAGAATACAGATAGGGCTCTATACCTTCTACCCTTCTACACAGACTCCAATGTAGTTAGTAATCATGGGCCACTAGGAAGGAAAAATAAGATAAGCATACTCTACTTTCGGACTTTACCTTCTATAAAAACTCATCTAATCTAAAGTGCATTTTAAGAAGCAATTAAGGGACCCAAGAATGGAAAATATAATAGAATTCCATAGATTAATTTCTACACATAGACGAAAATGAATGAATATGATATCTCAGAGCTTAAAAGCCATTCCTAAAGTATTCACTTATCTCTATTCTTTAATTTCATTTAAACTTAACCTCACTCTACCTAGCGCAACATTTCCTCAACCAAATAAAATCTAATCTAGGACAATCTATATTAGTATAATGGGCTCAGAGGCTAATCCCTGCTTAGTAGTATTAGTAATTAAAGAAAAAGATTTAATGCAAATCCTCTTCGTTTTTTTACCGCACAGAGGTCTAATCCTGGTTTTGAAATCTCCTGTATATTGGCGGAGGAGGATACGATAACATTCAATCCGAGCTTCTCGAAGATACAAAGTGAACTCATGCGATTAATTGATTCGATCGTGCATGCGGTGCAGATAATGCCACGCATTGAGGGCAAACTTTATACGGATCTAAAGATTTCGAAGAAGCTCTTCCTGACGCCCACGGTGCCGGATAGCATTGTGGCCGATACGAAGAATAAGGTGTGCATGATGCTTGAGGAGCAGCGCATTGGCCCCGAGCTACGATTGCAGGACTTTGATGCGTTCATTGATCTGATTAACGGCATGGACTCGGAACGTGTTGGACGCTTCATGGACGGCGATGCCACCTTTCAGCAGTACACGGAATTGGTTTACGAGTATCGAGAGAAAGAGGATCGCATTGCGCGAGAGGTGTGGGGCATCATACGCATGGGCCTCTATGAGTTCCATCGGGATAATTTTATCATACATGTCGAGCAGCTGGCACGACAGATCCAGACAGATCTGCTCGCTCGCATGGTGGCCGATCAGCAGGCGCGAATCTCGCGACTCGGCAGGGAGTACGATATGATAGCGAAGAAGGCGCTGACTGTGCCCAAGGATACGGCCGAGCTAATGGAACTGAAAGCCTATGTGGTGCATGCCGAGGAAAATCTGGTGCCCGAGATGGAGGCACGCCTGAAGGTGAACATGACCGAGATCCTTTGGCTGATGGATCACACGCTGTACTCCCCCCTGGAGATCAAGAACAACAGTAATTCCTTCCAATGGTACTTGAAATTGGCTTCAATCTTTGATCAGCATCGCGTAATCATTGCCGAGAAGGTGATCGAGTACCAGGAACTGCTCAAGAAACGCATCGAAATGTTCCGTCGCGAGCTGCAGAATTATTACGACCAGGTGCAGCTGTACGATACGTGGGGCGACATCAAGCAGTTGTCGAAGTATAAGAAGCGCGCCGGACTGCTGGACCAGCGACTGGTCAATGCCATGGACACCATCGATCAGATAAACGAGGAGGAGACTTCTTATGGCTGGGATCTGTCCCAGTATCCGGTGCGCAAGAAGGCGCACGATCAGCTAAAGCCCTATAAGAATCTCTTCGATGCCGGTCAGGACTTCATTGACAAGTGGGAGCTGTGGATGTACTCGCAAGTGGGCTCCTTCGATCCGGATGAGATCGATCAGGATGTGTCGAACTTTTATCGTATTGTACAAAAGCTGGAAAAGCTCATGGGCGATCATCCCATTACCATGCAGCTCATCATGGATGTCAAGGAGCAAATGGAACTCTTCCGCGGACATATGCCCATCATCAATACCCTGGGCAATCCCGGCATGAAGGCGCGCCATTGGGAGCAAGTCTCTGAAATTATTGGCTTCCCCATCAAAGTGTCGCCGGAGCTGACGCTCGAGAAGATTATTGACTACCAGCTGGACGAGTATGTGCCTAAGTTCGAGGCCATCTCGGAGAGTGCCACCAAGGAGAATAACCTTGAAAAGGCCATGGCCAGAATGGCCAACGAATGGGAGGGCGTTGAATTTGGTATATCGCCCTACAGGTAAAGTTGAATGTTTCCAAATGCATATATGTAAATGGACACCGTCTGTCATTTTGTGTGCATGTGTGTCTAGTCTAATTGAAATGTCTCCCACAGGGATTCTGGTACCTTTAAGCTGTCCGCCGTGGATGACATACAAATTTTGTTGGACGATCAAATCATCAAGACGCAGACAATGAAGAGCTCACCCTACATCAAGCCATTCGAGGCGGAAATACTGTAAGTGCACTCTAAGCCTGTTTGTTCAGCACTTGTCAATGTCAATCGCACTCTTACATAAACACACCCACACACACTCCCACAGACACACCCAATCACGCCTCACACTCTTTACTAATGCTCGTTTTGTGCGCTTGCAGCAAGTGGGAGGCGAAGCTGATGCTGCTGCAGGAAATTTTGGACGAATGGCTGCGCGTGCAGGCCACTTGGATGTATCTGGAGCCCATTTTCAGCAGTCCAGATATTCAGCAACAAATGCCCGAGGAGGGACGACGCTTCAGTGCTGTGGATAAGGTCGGTTGCTTCGCTAGATACCCTATAGCTATACCTGTACCTAGGTCTAAAAAAAATGCATAGTAGACCTTGTGAATATATCACTATCTTTTGAATATGCTTGAGTACTCTCAGACAGGGTATTTAGAAGTCACTACCAGTCGATTACACCACATTACCTAAAGAGTTCAAGTTAAACTCTGATATAATCCTTTGCACTTGTCACAGATCTGGAAGGAACTGATGAAGCAGGTTTCACTGGACTCACGCGTGATGACCGTTGTTCAAATCGACAAGATGAATGATAAGCTGAAGAGGGCGTATAATCTGCTGGAGATCATTCAGAAGGGTCTCAACGCTTACTTGGAGAAGAAGCGTTTGTACTTCCCGCGTTTCTTCTTTCTGTCCAACGACGAGCTGCTCGAGATTCTGTCCGAAACCAAGGATCCCACGCGCGTACAGCCGCATCTCAAGAAGTGTTTCGAGGGTATTGGCTCGCTCACGTTCACCGAGGAATTGGAGGTCACAGCGATGCGTTCGTCGGAGCGAGAAGTAGTCGTGCTGGCCGATGTCATCTCGACAGCCAAGGCACGTGGACAGGTGGAGAAGTGGCTGCTGGAGCTTGAGATCGATATGAAGAAGAGTTTGCATCAGAAGATATCGGAGGCCTTTTACAGTTACGTTAAGATGCAGCGCAACATTTGGGTGCTTAGCTGGCCGGGCCAGTGCGTGCAGTCGATTTCGTTGACCTATTGGACCCTAGAGATCACCGAGTGCTTCCTAAGCGAAACACCCAAGGAGAGCTTGGCAAAGTATCTGCAGAAGTGCATGAATCAAATTATGAAGATTGTGGATCTGGTGAGAGGAGATCTGAACACACAGAATCGTATTACCCTAGGCGCACTGGTAGTGCTCGATGTCCATGCACGCGACGTCCTGGCGGAAATCGTTGAGAAAGAGGTTGACGACCTGCAGGACTTCCAGTGGCTTTGCCAATTGCGCTACTACTGGGAGGAAAACAATTTGGATACACGCATGATCAATTGTTCCCTGCCCTATGGTTATGAGTACTTGGGCAATACTCCCCGATTGGTGGTAACTCCCTTGACAGATCGTTGTTATCGCACCCTATTTGCCGCCTTGAATCTGCATTTGGGTGGCGCTCCGGAGGGTCCGGCCGGCACGGGCAAAACGGAGACCACCAAGGATTTGGCCAAGGCCGTGGCCAAACAGTGCGTCGTCTTCAATTGCTCCGATGGCTTAGATTATCTGGCTCTGGGCAAGTTCTTTAAGGGCTTAGCTTCTTGCGGCGCCTGGTCGTGCTTCGATGAGTTCAATCGTATCGATCTGGAGGTGTTGTCTGTGGTCGCCCAACAGATTCTCACCATACAGCGTGGCATCAACTCGGGCTCCCCCACTTTGGTCTTTGAGGGTACGACCTTGACGCTAGATCCCACTTGTGCGGTGTTTATTACCATGAATCCCGGCTATGCAGGACGATCCGAGTTGCCTGATAATCTGAAGGTAAGACACATTCGATAAATAATAAAGTATAAAGCTCCAAGAATTTCTAACCTTCTTCCTTTCTTCCCTGTTTAGGCTCTGTTCCGCTCCGTGGCTATGATGGTGCCGGATTATGCATTGATTTCCGAGATTGAATTGTACTCCTATGGTTTCCTGAGGGCCAAGCCACTCTCGGTGAAGATTGTGGCCACCTATCGTCTGTGCTCGGAGCAGCTGAGTACCCAGTGCCATTACGATTATGGTATGCGAGCTGTCAAGTCGGTGCTGAAGGCAGCTGGTGCCTTGAAGCTGCGCTATCGAGATGAGAGCGAAGACATTCTTGTGCTGCGCTCTATCAAGGATGTGAATTTGCCCAAGTTCTTGAACCAGGATATACCACTGTTCCAGGGCATTACGTCGGATCTGTTCCCGGGTGTCACTCTACCCGAGGCGGACTACGTGGTGTTCAATGCGTGCACAATGTTGGCATGCGAGAAACAGAACAAGCAATGTACGCCGTTTGTGCTCGAGAAGGTGCAGCAGGTGAGTCAGCATAGAAAGGATGAATATAATAAGAGGATAGTATTTATTATATTTCGCTTTCATGGCAGCTCTATGAGATGATCGTGGTGCGACACGGTCTCATGTTGGTGGGTTATCCATTTGGCGGCAAGACCACTACATATCGGGTCCTGGCCGAGGCGCTCGAGTGCATGGAGAAAAAGGATGGCTCTGAAAACAAAGCTATATATACGATCATCAATCCAAAGGCCATAACCATGGGCCAGCTGTATGGACAGTTCGACGCCGTGTCGCATGAGTGGAGTGATGGGATCTTGGCTGTAAATTATCGGATTTTTGCTGTATCCGATTCACCGGACCGAAAGTGGCTCATCTTCGATGGACCTGTGGATGCCATCTGGATTGAGAACATGAACACCGTACTGGATGATAATAAGAAACTCTGCCTAATGTCCGGCGAGATTATCCAGTTGTCGAACACTACCAATTTGATATTTGAGCCAATGGATCTGGAAGTGGCCTCGCCTGCCACGGTTTCGCGGTGTGGCATGATCTATCTGGAGCCCAGTTCGCTGGGCTGGGAGCCGCTGGTCACCTCGTGGAAGAACACCCTGCCCGCTGCCTTCCACACGGTGAGCAAACAGCTCATCTCAGCGCTGATCTCTCGCTTCTGTCCGCTGCTCCTCTTCATCGTGCGGAAGGGTCTGCGCGAGATTGCGCCCACTTCGGACACCAATTTGATGGTTAGTTTGATGAATTTCTTTGAGTGCTTCATCGATGATTTCCGCGATGAGAAGTACGTGGCGAATATTTCGGATTTGGATTTTCGTGCGCAAACCGAGGGCATTTTCCTATTCTCGGCAATTTGGTCGATCGGTGGCTCGTTGACGTCCGAGAGCCGGGAGAAATTCAACATAGTCTTTCGTGCGCTCATGGAGAAGACTTTTCCACAAAGCCTGTACGATATGTACGACGTTACGGAAGATTTGTATGTGGAGCCATTGTCGAAGCCCTTCATCTTTCCCATACCCAAGCAAGGTTCGGTGTTTGACTATCGCTACATAAAGGAGGGCAAGGGCAAATGGAAGCCCTGGCAGGATGATGTTAACTCAGCACCGCCTCTGCCACGCGATATACCCGTCAACCAGATTCTCATCCAGACCAATGAGAGCGTGCGTATTGCAGCCGTATTGGATCTGTTGGTGCGACATGGATTTCCCCTAATGCTGGTCGGACCCACCGGCACGGGCAAGAGCGTCTATGTCATTGACTACATGTTAAAGAAAATGGATTTGCTTGTCTACAAGCCGCTGTTCATCAGCTTCTCGGCCCAGACGTCGGCCAATCAGACACAGGACATTATCATGTCCAAGCTGGACAAGAGACGAAAAGGCGTCTTTGGACCGCCCCTGAATAGTCGCTTTGTGATCTTCGTGGATGATGTCTCGATGCCACTGAAGGAGAACTACGGAGCACAGCCGCCCATCGAGCTGCTGCGCATGATGCTCGATCATATGATGTGGTATGATCGCAAGAATATTGTGCCCATGAAGCTGATCGATCTGCAGATGATTGTGGCGATGGGTCCTCCCTCGACGGGCAATACGGTTACACCGCGTTTCCAGCGCTTCTTCAATGTGATCTCGATTGATGATTTCAACGATGACATTATGAGTACGATTTTCGGCAAGATCGTGCTCTGGCACTTGGATGCACGGTAAGTGGGGTGTATAGTGGAATGAGTATATTTAATTCAGAATTTTCTCAATCAATATATTAGTGGCTTCTCGAAGGAGTTCGATCCTTGCATCGATGAGATTGTGGGTGCAACGTTGTCTGTGTACAATGATGCCAAGTTGAATCTGTTGCCCACCCCGGCCAAGTCGCATTATCTGTTCAATTTGCGTGACTTTTCACGCGTCATACAGGGTGTCCTGCTGTCGGTGCCGGAGGCTACAGAGGACATGAATTCAATGCGGCGTCTCTGGGTGCATGAGGTGTTGCGCGTCTATGGCGATCGTTTGGTCGAGGACTCCGATCGTAGTTGGTTATTTGGGAAATTGTGCTCGGTGGTGCAGGATAACTTCAATATCGAGCCATCGCGTCTGTTTTCACGCTTAGTGCCACAGGGTAAAAAGCTGGAAGAGAACGACTTTCGGCAATTGATCTACTGCGATTTCACCAATCCGAAAGCGGATATGAAAAACTATGTCGAGGTGCAGGACGTGGAAGAGTTGCGTACGGTTGTGGAGGCGTATCTAGTTGAATATAATAACATGTCGAAGAAACCAATGAATCTGGTGCTTTTCCGCTTTGCCATCGAACATTTATCGCGCATATGTCGCATCATAAAGCAGCCACGTAGTCATGCTCTGCTCATCGGGGTCGGCGGCTCCGGGCGCCAGAGCTTGACTCGATTGGCTTCGCATATATGCGACTATGAGCTGTTTCAAGTGGAAATAACTCGATTGTATGGTCCGTATGAGTATCACGAGGATATCAAATCGATCTTGCGTAAAATTGGTGCCTCTGAAATGCACGGCGTATTTCTCTTTACGGACGTTCAGGTGGGCTAAGCATACCAACATTTTGGACCAATTGCACTTTCCGTATCTAGGGCAGTTTGCTAATCTTTGAAAGACTTTTAGATCAAAGACGAATCTTTTCTGGAGGATATTAACAATCTGTTGAATTCCGGCGAGGTGCCCAATCTGTTCACCAATGAGGAGAAGATCGAGGTGGTTGAAAAGATGGCGCAAATCGACAAGCAGCGCGACAAGGCCGTACAAACCGATGGCAGTCCCGTTGCCCTATTTAACTTTTTCGTTACGGTGGGAGATCAAATTTCAGCTACAAAATATTTCTTCTCCTCAGATAATTCTTATAATTTCTTGATCTATCCCTGTAGACCTGTAAGGATCAGCTGCACATTGTGTTGGCCATGTCGCCGATTGGCGATGCGTTGCGTAATCGCATACGCAAATTTCCCTCGATTGTCAACTGCTGTACGATCGATTGGTTCCAGCCCTGGCCCGAGGATGCTCTACTTGCCGTGTCCACCCGCTTCCTGGCTGCCGAGGAGCTGACTGCGCTTGAGCGCAAAACGGCCATTGATATGTGCATGGAGTTCCATACGTCCACACAGGATTTGTCGGCCAAGTTCTTTAAGATGTTGCATCGCTACAACTATGTGACGCCCACGTCCTATTTGGAGCTGATACAGACATTCAAGGCGTTACTTAGCCAAAAGAGAAAGTGAGTCATTATGACAGTACAATTTTCCTTATTGGTCTAATATAAATGACCTCCGGTTTTCGCTCGCAGCAACATCACCATGAATCGAAATCGTTATTTGACGGGCATTTCGCAGCTGGATATTGCCGCCCAGCAGGTGGCCGTCATGCAGGAGCAGCTGCAGGCGCTGGAGCCGAAGCTGAAGGAGGCCTCCGAGATCGTGGCCGAGCAGGTGGCCAAGGTGACGGCGGACAGTAAATTGGCCGCCGAGCAGCGAGAGCTGGTCAAGGAGGATGAGCAGGCAGCCAAGCAGCAGGCAGCCATTGCTCAGGAGATCAAAGACGAGTGCGATGCCAAGTTGGGTGAAGCGCTGCCCATTCTGGAGGCTGCCCTCTCCGCGTTGAACACTCTAACCACGGCTGATATCGCCGTGGTGAAGACCATGAAGAGTCCGCCCATCGGTGTGCGCATCGTTATGGAGGCTGTTTGCATTCTGAAGGAAATGAAGCCCGATAAGGTGCCCAATCCCAGTGGCGTGGGCACCGTCGAGGACTATTGGGGTCCATCGAAGCGTGTGCTCAGTGATATGAAATTCCTGGACAGTTTGCTCAACTTCGACAAGGACAACATATCGCCGGATGTGATGAAGAAACTGCAACAGCGTATTCTCAACAACGAAGCCTTCGATCCGGAGAAGATTAAGACGGCATCCACGGCGTGCGAAGGTCTCTGTCGCTGGGTCATTGCACTCTCCAAATACGATGTGGTGGCCAAAATTGTGGCGCCCAAGAAGATCGCCTTAGCTGCCGCCGAGGCCGACTACAATGCGGCCATGAAGTTGCTAAACGAAAAGCTGGCCCAATTGGCCAGGGTCGAGGCCAACTTGGCCGCTATTCAGAAGATCCTCGATGAGCAGCTAAGACAATATGGGTGAGCAGAATGTCTCTGTATAGTGGGATTTTGTTTAAATGTATGTAACAGGCACAGGAATACGTGGCAGACCTTTTAAAGCATATATATTCTTGATTAGAACAATGATCTGATCAATTATGAATCTACCCACTCGTCCGTATATGTGAACGCGTCGATTTCAGAGCCTAAAAGAGCTAGAGGTTTGCAATTTTTTAGTAGAACCGCACGCGGTAATCAAGTTTTTTTTTTTTTTTTTTTAAATTTATATCTTTACCCTTTTTAGTGTTATCGACAAGTTTTTATAAAATTTTATTTCGTACATCTTAAGAGCTAGAGAAGAATCACTTAAATAACAGTTCACTTCGAAGGGTTCAGGGAATCTCGCAGTCGATCAGTCTCAATTAGACCACTTGTTACTCTTTACTTTTAACCCTTGTTTTTCCTACTTAGTGTCTTATTGGCAGAGCATGAAGCTTGTACAAAGAAGTTGCAGCGCGCCCAGGAGCTCATTTCTGGCTTGGGCGGCGAGCGTACGCGTTGGTCGGAGACAGCTCGGGTGCTTCAGGCGAGCTTTAAGAGCGTGACGGGTGATGTGCTCATATCGTCTGGAGTTGTGGCCTATTTGGGCCCATTCACCATCGACTTCCGTGTCACGCAAATACGCAAATGGGTAGCAAAGTGCCTGGACTACGGAGTGACCTGCTCGGCGGACTTCCAGTTGGCTGTGGTGCTGGGTGAGCCGGTGGAAATTCGCTTCTGGAATATTTGCGGTTTGCCAACGGATGCGTTTTCCGTTGAGAGCGCCATCATGATGAAGTAAGTGCAACAATAATTATTTATTCCATCGATTTTGCAAAGAAAGTTTAGTTAGCTGAATATTCTAGCGTAAATCTTCCGCTTAAAGCCCGCTTATACTAAAGTGCTTTGCTTACATTAATGCTCAACAGGCAAAGTTTGATGGGAGAGTACGCTTCGTTAAAGCCACAAAAAGTCATTAGCTTACAAATCGATGCAAAAAGCTTTGCGTCAGGAATTTCATTAATTTCATCTCAGCTACAACAGCTGTGGCTCAGCCAACCAACTCACTATAAATATTTATATATATATACGTATGTACCTATATATACACATATATACATATATACTTGTATATACTTACTTTCAATTAAATAACCTGACACGCTAATTATGGCTGAGAGCTTGTCAGATACAGAAGATTCACAGTATTCATATACCCTAATGGAGAGGATGTTAAGGAACTCTTAAACAGAAAGTACTCTTAGAGTTGAACTTATAGGATTCCTGGGGGGGTTGCTTATCTGTTATATTTGTATATATATCTTGTAATGAAAACATTAATGTAAAGTTAAGTGTACTTATGGAATACATAGATACATATATTATGGTGTTCATTTTATAACCTTCTAGTCAAAGAAATTTTTGCTCAACATCAATTCTAACAGATTTATAAAAATCAGTCCTAAGTTTAATTAATTAATAATCAATTAATTGCATTGCTGGCCCATAATCTCCTGTAGTTTTAATTATAGTGTTTATAGGGCTTCTTTAAATAGTATTATATAAATTCGATAAGCTTCACGTTAAGAGCATCATTGCTCAAATATGATTGTAAAGGATCGCTAAAAAACAATAAGACAGAAGTTAAACCTGTTTATATTCCACTATAGATTTTTTGATATCAGAAGATTTCATTATATATACATTTAAAAAAATGTATTTATTTTTGTTTTTATTTTTACAACGCCCATAATTTTATTAAGGTCTGAACGTATAGGATTTCAAAGGTTTATATAGAGAATTTGCCGCCTAATTTTGTTCCCATGAGACCTCCTATTTAATCTTCTTATATTCAACTAAATCTTCACTAAGATCAAATAGAGTTTTTTTTTTTTATAGATAGTGTGTATTTTTTATAATATATATATTTTTTTTTTGCTGGCACGTGCGGAATTTATTTGATTAATGATTCTGTTAGGGTATTAAAATTTTCTTCATACCCCGTTTCGCTTCGGTTTTTGTTTCTAATTACAAAACATAAAACGTCAGAATTCACGCATATTAAGAAAATTAAAGATATGCCGCTTAGCCTCGGTGCGTTGAGTGTGAGAACTGTGCCGGATGCTGCACGGGGCTGGGTCGGAGGGGGTGTTCGGCTCTGTGCGTGCGCGAGCGTGTGTGAGAGGCACCCGCATGTTGCCCAAGCACCGGTGGTTGCTTTAGCTCAAGGTACGCACACAGCTAAGGGCTGGTCCACGGTCCACGGTACGAGGAGGTGGTCCGGGGCCCAGTAAAGAATTTTCATGTTTGATGCGTGCATTTGAGAGAGAGTATTACGCATCTGGTGAGTTTCCACCAAAATATAAGGGGCGAGGTGTTGTGTTGCGTTACGTCGCGTTGCCACATGCCTCATGCCACTCTTCCCATGTCTCTCCATTTCGATTTAATAAAGGAAATTCCTGGCTGCTGCCACGCCACGAGTGTTCAAAGTAATTTGGAGCATGCCCAAAATACCTGAGGTGTGAGCCACCTCTGATGATACTCCTGCTACTCCTGCTACTCTTTCTGCTACTGCTGCTGCTGCTGCTGCTGTTGTTGTTGCTAGTCCTGCTGCACAAAGGATAAGCAATTGATTAATGTGCGCTCCGGGCGCATTACGTTTAATTTTTACCCATAGACATGGCAAATGAATGATGTAGGGATTTGTTCAGGCGCCGCTAGTTATACTATCTGCAACTTCTCTGACTGCCGAACACAAGACGAATGAATTTCTATTTGTATTTTGTTTTTGTCTTTTGTCCTTAAATACCCTGTATTAGGCGATGTTGGCAAAGGGCATGTTAATACTGTGTTTGATATGTTAGATAATGGAAGATATTGATCCAATATTGAACAGCAGTATTCTTGATCTCAGACAAATGTAATGTTCAGAGTATAAAAAAGAAGATCTTAAGTTTTTTTTTATATATATTTTTTATTTGTTAATATTTTTTTTTTTAAATTGCTTTTGCGTTGAAGTATTTTGGTATTCCTCACATTTTGAAGATTTTTTGACTACATTTTCGAAAACCTATTCTCAACTTCAAATTAGACTTACAAATTCCTTTCAGAGTATTTTATAATTAATTCCATTCAACTCAAATATCATTCGTTCTTCAATGTTGCCAATTTGATGTGTTTAATATATCTTAGCTCTGTCTCTCTTGGTTCGTTATTCTTCTAGCTGCCTTTACTCCTTACAGGGTATTACTCTCTAAAGAGTAACTTTCTCTATTCAATCATTTGCTTTCAATGGGAATTACCTAGCTGACCTTTCTACTCTTTTTAATATATCTTAGCTCTTTTTCCTTCCTAAAGGGTATTTTCTAGCCGATCACTCATTTGTCGTAACGCTCCATATTATTCCGTTGGCCTATCCTGTTTTATTTCATTAGCTCTTAGTTCTTTCTCTTAACTTTTTCCATTTCCAGGGTACTTTTTAGCTGATCACTCTGATTAGTCGCAACTCTCCTTATTGTTTCCTTAGCTCTTCCTGTTTTATTGGGGCGGCCGACACGTCGCTCACCAGCTGCCCCATGGCAACTGCTTCGTAAATTGCTAATGTGGGGCAGCAGGTGTGGAGTCGTTCATTGTGGGTCTGCTTTGGGTCGTGTCTCTTTGCATAAATGTTTGATTAAATAATGTTAATTTGGATAAGGGCCAATCCATGCAGCATTGCGCTTGGAGAATTGAACTCGAAGCACTCGCTTTAAGAACTTCGATCGAAACACTTTTGTGCGCCAGCTTTAAGTCATTCCTCAGTTTTATTGTCTATTGTACCAAACCAAGTGGAAGCTTTTGTGATTCACAAACGTTTTCTTCTTTTGTTGTCAATTTTGATTTCCTTTATTGCATTTACATTGTTAACATTTTTGTTGTTGCTTTCCTTGGCGTTTGCACAGTCAACGTACTCGGAATGTACTCTCCTGCGCGGGCTCCTTTTTTTGAATGCTCGATATATTTTTTAACAATTTTCAAGCGTCTAGCGGAAGCGAGGATAGCAAAGGTTATGATACCCTATAAATTTAAAATGGACTCGAGGTGTATTTTTGTAGTGGCCAAGATACGAGTATTCGAGAAAGTAGCTGGAACAAATATTATATTAAATTTATATATTATAATTTATGCTTCGAATCTTTGATTAGGAATTTATATATCGAACTAAGTTTGGGTCTCTTATATTTACTACTAAATTTATTACTTTTTGAAAACTTCTGAGAATATATAAATATTACTTATAGTTTCCTCTGACTAGATAAAAAGTTTATTTGATTAATGAAACTTTTATAAGGAATAATTTTTTGCAATATTTACCATGGATTCATTTCATTGGTCTATAAGACTACTAAATCATATTTTTTGATAAGAGCAATTTTGTTTAAGAAAGCTTTGTTTTCTAAAAAGTTTACGAATTGTTTGAAATATTAAATTCATTATTTTTTTTTTTAATTTTCTCTATAGCTAACTATTTTATTTTTCAATATAGAAAATCTTTTTCAATAAAATTTTCCAGCTTAAAACGTATTTATTAGTCGAGCCATTCGCGAGTCGCTCTCCTATCCAATCGAGACTACAATTGCTACGTGAAACGCGAAACAGATATATGTGCATTGATATACATATGCATATAGGTATATATGCATATATACAAGTATAAATCCATACAGAGGTATATATATATATATACATACATATAGCTCGTTCGGTGTGTTGTATGTGCATCTATACGTTGACATTTTTTATGTACCCTGCTCTTTCTCTCTCTCTCTCTCTCTCTCTGTCTCTGTCTCTCTCTCTCTCTGTATCTTTCTCTCTGCAGAGAGAGGTTAAAATTGGCTCTTTTGTTTTTGCATCAAATATTTTTCATTCATCAAGTTTTCAATTTACAAAAATGTTCATTCATTCGCATGAACAAATTTGTATTCGGTGTGAATTTGTCATGTGCTCTGCTCTGTATTGTTGTTGTTGTTGCTGCTGTTGCTGCTGTTATATTTGCCTATTGTATCTTTAAACTGTACATCTGTGAGTTATCGCACAGTCATATAAACACGCACATCCATACACATTTACACAAGCAAATATTTGCATGTGTTTGTCGTAATTTCTCCCTGGCTTTTTGCATCAATTCATTTGCATGTTTGATATCATATTTATAATTTGTATTACGCAAATAAATGCTTATTGAAAATCTAATGCAAATTTATAGAGTTTTTCGATATAGACAATTTTATTTGGAAGAATATTCGAACTGAGAGACATTAAGAACTGCTGACACAGAATTTAGTACATGGATTTAATAAAACTCAATATAGTCAAAGTTACTTGAAGGCCATTTAATTAAATACTCTGCCTTTCAGAAAATTTCATCGAAAATGTTTCATTAATTTTGCTTTTCAAATAAATTTTTAATAATATTATCATCAAGGGATGTTTACAACATTTCAGAGCCATGCTGCAGCTGCAATTTGCTTTTCCAATTTTCGCTTGCAAACTGAATTTTCCCATTTTATTTCATCTGTGTAATCGGTTTATAGGAATGCGCGTCGTTGGCCGTTGATGATTGATCCACAGGGGCAGGCCAATAAATGGATTAAGAACTATGAGAAGAACAACAAGCTGTGCGTCATACGTTTGAATCAGGCGGATTATACGCGCGTGCTGGAGAATGCCATACAGTTCGGTTTGCCCGTGCTGCTCGAGAATATTGGGGAGGAGTTGGATCCCATACTGGAGTCTATATTGCTGAAGCAGCTGTTCAAACAAGGCGGTACGATGTGCATTAAGCTGGGCGACACGGTTATTGAATACAATAATGCATTCAGGTAAGATATCTTTGTATATATTAAAATAAAATACATGAAACTTCACTTTACTCAACAGATTCTATATGACAACGAAACTGAGAAATCCCCATTATCTGCCCGAGGTGGCGGTAAAGGTAACCCTGTTGAATTTCATGATTACCACACAGGGCCTACAGGATCAATTGCTGGGCATTACGGTGGCCAGAGAACGGCCCGATCTGGAGGCCGAGAAGAATAATCTCATTGTACAAGGCGCTGAGAATAAGCGCATGTTGAAGGAAACTGAAGATCAGATATTGGAGGTGCTCTCCTCGGCCGAGAACATATTGGAGGATGAGACGGCGGTGCAGATACTGAGCTCTGCCAAGGCTCTGGCCAATGACATCAGCGAGAAGCAGATTATTACAGAGGCCACCGAGAAGCAAATCGATTTGGCTCGCCTCAGCTACGTGCCCATAGCAGAGCACTCGACAATTCTCTTCTTTACCATAGGTAAACTGTTATCACACTGTTACTTAACAGCGCAGTTAACTTCACATTTTCCATTTCTGTTACCTCACAGTTAATCTGGCTAACATTGATCCCATGTACCAATACAGTTTGGTTTGGTTTGTCAACCTGTACATGGCCTCCATTGACAATACGGAGAAGGTGGATGATATTGAGGCGCGTCTGCTGGACTTACGCAATCATTTCACCTACAGCCTGTACGTCAACATCTGTCGCAGTCTCTTCGAGCGTGTAAGTACTTCCATCCTCCAATGTCAATTATCATCAAACGTTAGTTCAGCTGGGGTCATTGCTGTGGCTTCCATTCCCTCTAGAGGACGACTCTTTCTCTGTCTGTGTGTGTTTGTATGTAGCGTAATTGCGATATAATCCTATTGCGTTATATTTTAAGCGTATTACTGGGTGCTTGAATTTCCTTTGTGGCTGCGTATAGTTGCGCTTGAGTGCGTTTTAATAATTCCTTAGCATCAGCTTTAAGGACTTGCTGCCTTCACTGAATTGACAGCGTTCTGTCAGTACTGCGTGCCAGGTGCGTGGCTTACGCACTGTGGGGCATAACAATGAATCTAACAGAGGAAATAGCTGAAAGTGCCTGTCAATGTTGTTTTAACAACAATTTCACATTTGTTTTTAGTTTTTATTAATTTTTAGCTCCAAATTGAAACATAGCTTTTAAAAAGTCTGTCAAAGTTAACAATTACTTTGACTACGAGTTTCATTATTGACAATCAGTTTGACAGTCAGCTGACAATGTTGACAGCCAGCTTAACAAGAAGTTTCGAATTCCTTTTTATCATTTCAATATCTAAAGAATAATTTATAATGTGTAGGTCAAGCTTGACATTGAGTTTGACAGCAAGTTTTTATTTTTATATATTTTTTAATACTTTATACTTATATTAAAGACTTCATTTTTGGCCTCAATACGAATTTCGTATATTGTTATAACAATATTTAACCCAATGAATATATTTATTTATTTTTAGTAATAAAAAAAGTTGACAATCATATTTAGCCGAAAAATCTTCTATATACTTCAACGTATGTATACAAAAGTTAAAAAAATTTCTTAAAGTAATTAACAATCATTTACAATTTTTATTTTTTGCTAACAATATTTAACTAGCAGATTTTTTTTTATACATAAATTTGAATATGCTCAATTCTTTTGCTTTTAATCAAACAATATTTGCAATGGAATATAGACTCTGAAATATGCAATAATAATTAACATTAACATTTCGATAATATTGAGGTATAAAACTATAAAAAACATCTTAGTTGCATTCCACTGTACGCCGTCGTTGAGGGCTATAAGATTTGGACCTTATTGGAATGATTGGGCTGAGGCAAAGGGGGAAAAGGGAAAATTCGACCACGCCCTTTTGTTGGCTTGATGATGTTTTCAGTCAATTATAAAGCATCCTTGCTCTGTATGGACATCTTTGATACTCGGTCTGTAATTTGTACTGCAAAAAAAGAAATGGAGTTTGTGAAAATGTATCTGTGAGCCATGACTTTGATTGCTTATGTAACCCCATTTGAAAAGTCATTTTAATGCGTGTTCGAAAGATGAAAATGAAAAAATGAAATAAAAACGAATTTTTTGTTTCTTTTTTTTTTGTAACAGGATAAGCTCTTGTTCTCCCTCATATTGAACATTAATCTGATGAAGCACGAAAACTTGATTGACAATTCCGAATGGATGTTCCTCCTAACTGGTGGAATTGGCCTAGAGAATCCGTATAAGAATCCCACCTCATGGCTGGGCGTCCAAAACTGGGATGAATGCTGCCGTTTATCGAACATGCCCAACTTTAAGGGACTGCGCGAAGATGTCAGCGCCAATCCGGATAGCTGGAAATTGCTATTCGATGCGAAGACACCGCAAGACAATCAATCCATACCCAAGGAGTGGCAGAAACGTTTAAGTGTCTTTCAGCAATTGCTGCTGCTGCGCGTCTTTCGACCGGATAAATTGGTGCCAGCTGTGCTGAACTTTGTGGCTGGCGAGTTGGGACCACGATTTGTGGACCCGCCTCAGTTCGATTTGATGGCCTCCTTTGGCGACTCGCATTGCTGTGTGCCATTGATATTTATTTTGACGCCTGGCTCGGATCCGACAGCCACTCTATTGAAATTTGCCGAGGACCAGGGCTTCGGCACAAATCGTTTGTTCTCCCTGTCCCTGGGCCAGGGCCAAGGGCCCATTGCCATCAAGATGATCGACGAGGGAGTCAAGCTGGGCAATTGGGTGGTTCTGCAAAATTGCCATTTGGCAGCCAGCTTCATGCCGTCGCTGGAGAAGGTCTGCGAAAATCTGTTGCCCGACTCAACGCATCCAGATTTTCGTCTCTGGCTCACCTCATACCCAGCTGAGCACTTTCCGGTTGTGGTGCTGCAGAACGGCATCAAGATGACAAATGAACCGCCCAAGGGTCTGCGTTCGAACATAACACGTTCGATGCTCAGCGATCCGATTAGCGATCTGGAGTGGTACGAGTCCTGCACACAGCCGCGCGTCTTCAAGCAGCTGATCTATTCACTGTGCTTCTTCCATGCCGTCATCCAGGAGCGGCGATACTTCGGACCCATCGGCTGGAACATACCCTACGAATTCAATGAGACAGATCTACGTATTTCGCTCATGCAGCTTCGCATGTTCCTCAACCAGTACGAGACGGTCAACTATGATGCTCTACGCTATCTGACAGGCGAGTGTAATTATGGTGGTCGTGTCACGGACGATTGGGATCGTCGCACACTGAAGACCATACTGGATCGGTATTACTGTCCCAATGTCATTGATCTGGAGAAGCCCTACTATCTGGATGAGACGGGCCATTACTATGTGCCCGTATTCAAGGACGTTGAGTTGTATATCAATTTCACACGCGACTTGCCACAAATATCGCCGCCATCGATCTTTGGCTTCCATGCGAACGCTGATATCATGAAGGATCAGCAGGAGACGGATATGTTGGTCTCACATACGCTGTTGACACAGGTATGTTCGGTGTAGCTAGTTAGTCTGGCCTTCATGATTTTATACATTTTCCATATTTCGCTAATGTTTGCTTTCATTAGTTAGATTTAAAAGCTATACAATTGGACGCTTGTCGTTAGCTATGATCAATATAATTGATCAATGCAGAACTGTTTTTTTTTTCGAACTTGCCTCGGTTATCTCATCGACTAGATTTTTGTACCCTCTCTTCATATCTGTTAGAGTTTTACTCTTGCTAAAAAGTATACATTTACAGCAAAGTATGGTCTTGTCTGTTCCTAACGGTCCCTAAGGCATATAAATAACACATCTGCAATCAAGATAGGGTCTTGTCTGTCCTCGACTGTCCTTGAACATATCTCATCAAGGTAGAGTCTTTTCTGTTCAGGTGTGTCATGGTAGAATCGCGCCTATTTCTGACGGTCCCCAAATACCCCATCTGCCATCGAGGTAGAGTCCTCTCTGTCCTAGCCTCTTCTTAGAAAATATCCTGTCTGCTACCTACTACTCTGACATTGTCTTTTGATCGGGTCTATTCTTGACTTTACCGCCTCTCCTTGAGTATCTTTAATGTATATACATACCCCCATTGCAATCAATTTAGTCTTGCCCGTCCGGGCACCCTTGGTCCTCACTTAATGTTCTCTACTAATTAGAATGTGCTACTTACGATTCTATAACGCTTAAATTGTTGCTTAACTTTTGCTTATTTATATCACTCACTGCCGCTAAAAAGGAACGTTGGGTAAGTTACAATGTTTAAATTTGTTTTTCTTGTGAATTGTAAACTCTGAGAACTTAAACCAAATATTATTTAACACATTGCTTGCGCGCACAGGATCTATATGAGAGACGTGTAAGTTGTCTACTGCGTAGTATTTGCTTTTCGTTTTCCAACAGCTTTTCTTCTGTAATTTTGTTAACACGCTTGCGCATTAGAAACTGGAGCAAAGCCAGAGAGTTTATGTAGATGTGTTGTCGCGACGCTATCCTGAAAATCTACACCTACCTAACTGTCCCACATGTCCGCCGTACCTTTCACTCTACCAAATGCCATTGAAGGATACGAGTAGCTCGTCAGATGACAGTGAGGGCTCCAAGACGCTGACACCCGAGGAGGTGGTTACGAATGTAGCCACCGATATATTGGAAAAATTGCCCCCGCTATTTGATCGCGAGGCGGCGCTACATCGATATCCGACCCAATACCATCAGAGCATGAACACGGTGCTGGTCCAGGAAATGGTGCGATTCAATGTGCTGCTAAACACAATACGCACCAGTTTGATCACATTGCGAAAGGGCATTAAGGGTAAGTGTTCGATGTTGCACTTGTTAACTTTTAATTTCCACCAATTTATCTTTAACAATGTAATGGGCGACAAAAAATTTTTTATACACATATATAATATACGTATATATTATATATATGTAGAACCAAACTAATCACGTTCTTCTTGCGGAATTGAGGAACGGTGGGTTTGAGTGTCTGGCTTTGACACTGATGGGAGCCTAGTAGCTACATCCAATTCGTAATTACTATACGTACCGGTTTGCCTATCGGCGCCAAGCCTACCTTGGAAAATTGATTCAGCCTCCTCGCGAGTCGTAAGGAAGGACTCATGGGCTTGGATGGCTGGTAGATTCACCAAAACCGTTTCAGCATCCTTGATATCTGAGTCTTTTGCCTCTGAAATTACGTCCTCGTAATCTGTATCATCTATGGCACCCATATTTTGCATGCTTGCAAGAGAGACTTTGCTTGGCATATCACCAGGAATCTTGATATTCTTGACACTATCGTCATCCTTGCTTTTTTCGTAATCATTGCTACTCTCGAAATCGATGCCATCGGCATTGGAGAAGGTGATAAACTCGTTATGCTCGCCCTCCATGTCCTCTGTGCCCCCCATGTCCCCTGCGCTCCCCACAACATCCTCTCCAGAGGCATCATTCCACCAACTGCCCTCGTCATCTGCCTCATATTCGGTATTTTCCTCCTCTACGGTAACATCGTAGCCAGCTACAAATTCTTGAAGTGCCCCAATCAATTGATCCACTTGCTGCGTCTGAGTCTCCATGCTATCAACTGTGGCGCTGGGTGCTCTTGACGGTATTTTACGAAACACTCGAAAATCTTCCTCATTTACAATGTCCATGGTGCTCAATATTTGGTACATCTGTGTCTCATCACTTAGACGGTGCGCTTGCGTCATCTGCTCGAAAAACTCTGTGTTGATAAGTTTATCCAGTGGGTCCTCCTGTTGATCCTCATTGGGATCCTCTTTGACTTCAGGGGTGGCTCTGGTTAGCTCTTTGGTAATCTTATCCTCCTTCATTTTCTTAATTAACGTCAATGTCTGTGTGGTGAGCAACACTTGAGAGTCCATATTACCGGACACCCGAGAGTCGACAAATGGAACGTTGAATTTGTGTATGTCATCAATGCGCAATACGTGATCTGTTGACCGATCCTTGCGCAAATCTATTGGCTCAATTGGTGGAGGATCTGCATTATATTTAGCTATAATTGCATCAAACACATCGTCCAATAGACTGACGTAGTTCTCATGGATAATACGCTCGGTTTCGGTCTTCCAGCGTCGACCAGGAACGGCCTGACGTATGAGTTTCCGTATGATGGCCTCTACCTCATTTCGTTTGGGTGATTCGCTTTCGCTTTCGGTTGAGAACAAATACAGATCATTATCAATTAGGCGATCAATCAAATCGCTAGCTATAGTAAAGGCAATATCATAGTTTTCTAGCTTTTCCCAAATGCCTGCGAAGATCACATCCTCCACAATGTACTTGGCTATCAGAGACTTTTCATATTTCTCGAGTAATTCACTCATCTCCGGGAAGACCATCTTGCCGAGCATCACACGCAGTGGCACATAGGTCAAGGGCGTTTGGATGAGCTTGAAGCTATCCAGCCAGCGTTGAATATCCTTATCGATCTGTTTGGCAATGTTCACCACCGATTCGGCAGCTTCGCATTCGGCAATGTGAGCCACATCGGTTGTTAGAATCGTATTAATATAGTCATCGGTCACCTCACTGTGCGCCGCATTGGTCGACTGGTACAAGTCCTCGTAGATGGCACGCATATTGTTCTCCTTTTGGCGTAGACCCGCTTCGGCAGCCTCCCGGCGCCAGCGCTCCTTCTGAGTTAATATGGAGAAGAAGTGGAGTTTGCGCTGCTCCTTGAGACGTTCCATTTCCTCGGATAGGAATTGCATTATCCAGCCGATGGTGCTGCCCTCATACATTTGTAGCAAATGCTCCAGATCCTCACTGCGTCGCTCTTTAAGCATCTCTTTAGCCAGATCCGGACGGCGACGCATACGTTTCTCGGTCTGCAAATGCTGCTGGATGGCCAGCACCTGTTCTTGCGTGAGCTCAACCTTTGATTCGTCTTCATCGGCGCGGCGAGGGGCAAAGAATTCACGAAGATCCACTTCCTTATAGTTGAACGAGGGACGAAATTCGTTGGAGGGACTCTTGGGTCGTCGAATGAGGCACTTGGGTGTTGTCTTCTGCTTGGTTGCCTGCGAGCGTAGGGTCTTAAGCGATTCGTAGAGCTTCTGTAGATGCTTGTCGGAGCAGAAGTTCTGTTCGTACTCCTTGACATACTCCTTGGGCTTGGACCACTCCTTCAGCTTGGTAAAGCGGCATTGCAGTTGATTCATATTGACACGCTTCTCCAGGTCATCGATGCGCATATCGAATGCCTTGCGGCCATCGCCCACGAAATGGCGGCGAGCTGGATCGACGCCGTGACGGATGAGGGGACCATAAAACTCGGAGCAGGGCGTACCCAAAGCGTACATCGGACTCTGTTTGACCCAGCGCCTCGAGATGCCTGCGTTTTTAATCTGTAGACGGCGAAATGCTCGCTGATACTCAAGCTCATTCTTGTTGAGGCCTCGCTGACGCTTCTCCTCAATATACTCGCAGGCCTTCTCGATGCGCGACTTGGACGCCTCGTGCATCTGCTTCTCGCGCTTGTCGAACATGCGTATGACTATCTCCAGTCGCATCATCTGGCACTCTTGTATGTACTCCTCTCGTTCCATCCAGTGCTCCCACTCGAAGGCCTCGAGTATGGGACGATATTTGCTCTTGATCGCTTTCTCGCGCTCGTTATTCAACTGTTTCCTGAAGTTCGTCCTCAGTGCTTTGTTGAAGGCCCAGCGTTTGCGGGCACGTTCCAGGACCTCCACCTCATACAGACCGGGTGGCTTATCACCGGGCAGCAGTCTGGACAAATTAAAAACCTCTAGGGTCTCGCCGTCCTCCTTGTCCATAATGTCGGGCAAATAGGCCACAGTCTGTGCCGAGGACTCCCTGCGTAAAGGATGTGGATTGAGTTTTGCATGTCCGGGAGATATATCAATTAGAATTGCCTACCTATAAAGGGTTTGTGTGGTTTGATCTTTATAGCGCCGTTCGTCCACATATTTGGGAAAGAAATCGCATTTGTTGGTATAATCCTTGATGATCGGCAACGACTCGCGAATCTTCACCTCGAATGTGGTCACATCGGTCTCTCGTTCCGTTAGAAAATCAAGTCCCGGTGCCTTGAACTGGCATTCGCTGTCCGTGCGGGCCAACCAGCCAACTTTACGCTCCGCCGGATTGTTGGCACCTACGGCCCGTAATTGGCATTGAAATTAATTATTCGATTACACTTATTATGCAATTATTCGATTACACTTACCGCCTGTGACGCGTGGATCGCACGACGGATTTGTTATCAGGCAAGAGGTGAGGCCCGTTTGCATCTCGCTCTCCTTGACTGTGGTATGGCGTGGCTTGATGTGCTCGCGCTTCTTGTCAAAGGTCACACGCTTGGCATGCTTCGGCGGCTCCACGAGCAGCTGCTCCTTGGATGACATTTTTTTGACCTGCTCAATTTTGGGCGCTGAGTAAATAGAGGTGTTGCTAGTGCGCCGCATCCGACGCGCCTCGAACAGCACATTCATGATGTCCTGCTGCTGCCCTGGCATATTTTCTTTCCTTTTTTTTACGGAATTTATTTTATTTTTACCTAGCCAATTAAAACTTTATGTATTTCTAAAAAAAAGTTGTTTTAATCATTTAAGTGTTAAGCACGTCCGCTAGCAGTTTACTAATTGAATTTTCCTGTAGTTCCTGATTGGGCCCGTTTCTTGTCTCAACTTGACAAAGTTTTCGTTGCCTGCTCGATTTCTCTCTCAAATTTGATTGTTGTCTTTTTTCAGGTCTCGTGGTCATGTCCGCCGCCGTGGAGGCGGTCTACAAGTCTGTGCTGATTGCCAAAATTCCAGCCATGTGGGCCAGCAAGTCCTACCCCAGTCTAAAGCCTCTTGGCAGCTACGTTGCCGACTTTCTGCGTCGCCTCGAATTCCTTCAGGTGAGTTGTGTGCACCAATGCCAAAAACATCGAGCTAACAGCAATCGCATGGCAACGGCAATGGCACAGCTGTTGCCCTGGCAGCACAAGTGTTTACTAGGCCACTTGTCCTAGCTCTGACCCCTTTAGCGAGTCAATCAACTTTTGGAAATTAATATTGTAGAAAAAGGTTATGAAATAGGTAATACCAATAATAGCCAATTTAGTGGTTCCTTTATATTGGCGCGTATTTTAGAGTAGAGTTTCCATACAGATTTAAAGAATAAGTATGAGGCTGCAATCAGTGTTGCCTGTTTAGCTAATTTCAGGCTAGATCTAGTCTATTCGAAAGCTATCTAGCTTATGCATATGGGATGAAAAAACTAGAAATTGAGGCAGACTTCGCCGACTTAGTCTTTAAGAGAACTATAGAGCAGCAGAAACTACTGCCTGTGCCGTTTAATAATTATAAATATTAACGTAATTAAGCTATTTATCATATTAATATTTAGCCATATTCAAGCAGATATGTTCTTGAGCAGCGTAATCAAATTATCTGGTTTAGCTTTCTTCTTCATTGTTTGCCTATAAATCTGTTCGGAGGGTCTGTCTGCATATCTGTCTGTCGGTCGCTTCGTCTGCCTCTCCGTCGAAGAAGAATTACAGATCATTTAAGGCTAATGTATGCCGCAGTATTCATTCGGTATTTATATTTAGGCCCAACGAAGCAAGAATGCTGGCAGCAGTAGAGAGTGTCGCCATTATTCACTTAAGGTTCGACTGCAACGACGCCTACCTGCGCAACAGTTGAGTATTGAGTTGAGTCAACAGTCTGAGTGAAAGGCGTCCTATATAAAGGGCAGCAGCTACAGCATTTCGTCAGTCGCATAGGCTTGGTGGGGGCCAGTTGTGCAGTGTATCAAAGACTTCGAGGAAACAAGTGAGGAAATTCTTGGAGGAAATACGTGGAGGAAATACCTGAAAGAAATACACAGAGGAAAGGTATTGAGGAAATACTTAGAGGAAATACTCGGAGGAAAGACTTAAAAGGAAACACTTGGGGAAAAATTGAAAGAAAATACTTAGTGAGAATACTTAAATACTTCGAGCAAATACTTATAAGAAATAGTTAGAAGATAGGGGGTGGATTTGAGTGGATATATTTAAAAAATGGTTTTTAATTTTTTAATTTTTTTTTTAAAGATTTTTAATTTTTTCGTAGATGTGTTTTATGATATAAACTAAACAAAAAAAACATTATTATTTCAATCAAAATATTTCTATACTTTTGATCTAAGTATTCCTGTTTGAAATTGTTGAAATAATAATAATATATATTTTTAAAAGCATCTTAATTCACTTTGAAACTATTTCTAGGGTATCTTCAAATTGTTCAAGTAGGCAATTATCATTCTCATATATTCTTATACTTCGCAGCATTGGTACGAGCATGGCGCACCTTCAACCTTTTGGCTGTCGGGCTTCTTCTTTACGCAGGCTTTCCTCACGGGCGCCCAGCAGAATTATGCCCGGAAATACGTAATTTCCATAGATCTGTTGGCTTTCGACTATGAGGTGCTGTCGCTGGAGGAGGCGGATATTGGCAACACCAGTGCACCGGCCGATGGTGTTTTCGTCTATGGCATCTATCTGGAGGGCGCCTGCTGGGATCGCAAGAACAAATACCTGGCCGAGTCGCGACCGCGCATGCTCTTCGACACAATGCCCCTGATATGGCTGCGGCCCCTGAAGCGTGTCGATCTGCCCGAGCGCCACAACTATTTGTGTCCACTCTATAAGACGGCCGAGCGTCGTGGTATTCTCTCGACGACGGGACACAGCACCAACTTTGTGGTCGCCATGCTATTGGACTGCAATCCGAAGACGCCCATTGCCCATTGGATCATACGTGGCACGGCACTTCTCTGTCAATTGAGTTTCTAAATTCCATGTTTAGCATATGTCTATGTATGCGATATACTAATTCATATCCAAACTGTTTGCTGTTTGAGCTTGTATGAGTGTAATAGTAAATTGAAAAATAGCTGCTGCAGATGCCTGACGGCTCTGCTCAGACGTACATTAAAATTGTAAGAGGCTATAACTGTGTCTTTGAGTTGATTTTATTTTGGGGGAAGAGAGTTGAAGTCGCTTGAGATTTGTTTGATTAAAGGATTTGTTCATTGGCCTAATTATGGCTGCGCTCATCTATTTTAATTTAAAACGGAAAGAAATTATCATTTGGCTGAAATAGCAAATTTGCTGTATTTCATTACGCTGTATTATTATATGATAATTATTTGTATACCCTGTTCGCAATGCTAAGAAGAAATTGAAGCTTTTGTTGAGCCAAGTAGAGTAGAAGGCTGCTGTAAATGTATTTGGGTTATAAACATGTTTATTCAGTTATGTCCGTCTATCTGCATGTCCGATTTCCCGTTCAGCTATTGTCTGATCAACTGCCTAATATTTTATATAATTAAAAATTGAAAATATTTTTCTACCATATTTATAGTTAATTTTGGATATCAAAATTTTTTCTTTTTCTTTTTATATTGTCATGTACTATAGAACTAGTATATAAAATTTTTCTATATATGTACATATATAAAATATTGTCTATATATTTTCCAATAATTTACTAGATAACATTTCTTTGAAAATCGGGAAAAATATATTTTTATTTTTAAAATTTCAATATTTTAATAATATTCATACGCCTGGAATTTAAATTGTTTTTACTTGAATCTTTCCTCTTTCTTATATATACGTATATAAATATCCGGTACAGTTCACATCTATATAAACAGGGTTTTGACATAACCAATCAACTTTAAAGTAGCTATTTTCCTCGTTTACTTTTGCCTTGGTTTTTGTTCAAGTCGTAAATAAAAGTACTTGAGTCCCTGCCAGAGAAACATTTTGGAGTCGTCTGGCACGTTAATCATTTATTATCTGACATGACTGTGATTATTTAACTTTTAGCCCGGCTTGCCAGCCATATTTCATCTAAAGCTGGGGTCTTTTTTCAATTTGAAATTGTTCCACAGTTTTGAGCTGCTCGGGCGACTAATTTTCCCAAATAATTTATGGCTAAAGTTTATCATTGGGCCAAAGTGTTGTGATAATAAAAACAGAAGTGCTAGACGATTATGCGCAGCACTTGAAACGGAGATACTTGCAATAAGGCCAATTATGAATTATTATCGAAAGAGAATGTAACACTAGCTGATATCGGGCCAATTGTTGCTGGCAATCGCTAGGCAACTCAGTACCGTTCGGGCTCTCCATTAATTCTAACACTCTATCGCTTGAAAATGGATTCACTTCATTTGGCCATTAATTACCACCTTCCCGGGTCGAGCAGCCCATTTATCAGCAGCCTCTCCCAGTTGTCTCTTCAGCTGCTCATTCATTTGCTCTTTTCCTGCTCGCTCGACTGTGCGTGACCCCATCAAAGATAATGATGCTAATTAAGCAACAACATTTTCGCAGACTGTTTAAACCGATTAGATGATTTTGAAATCTGCTGATGTAGAGGCAGGGGCAGAGGCAGCGGCAGCGGCAAGCGGGAAATTTGCCAAATCCGCGTCATTTCTTAAATAGAAATAGATGCTGTCCCTGTCTAGATTCCAAATACCCTGTAGCCTATGAGGCTGACGGTAATGTGTAGTACTAAAGTGAATTTCTGTCTACCTGAATCTTGTTGGACCATTGCCGTTAATTTACAAAAGGAAGAGAGAGAAAGAGAGAGGAGAGAGAGAGAGAGGGACAGTTTGAGAGGGAAAATGAGAGAGAGAGTGACAGGGAAAATGAGAAGGATGGTGAGAGAGAGATGAAGGAAGAAAGGGAGGGAGAGAGAATATAGAGGGAGAGAGAGAAAGGAGGAATTGTAAAGTATTCAAATAATCAAACTTTCAGCCAAACTTTTTTTTAAATGAAACAAATTAATATTATTATGATTAACATTAACATTAACATTAATGATTAACATTCATATAATTATTGTATTATACCTCTTTTCAAGCTTTAAATAATTCCTTTGTTTTAATATCATCAAAGGAATTAATTGCATAATAATGTGTTTCTAAATATATTTATAAAATTTGTCAGCCAAGTATCAAACTGGACATATTCTGGGAATTATCTGACTAGCAACTCGAAAGATTTGGGATAGCTGTAAAGGTTATCTTCAATTTAAAAGCTACGAGTTTAATTATAAATTTTTCTTGTGAAAAAGTTAATTATTGTTTATTTTTTCTTTTTTATGGGTAAAGAGAAATTGTATATTTATCAACTTTTTTACACGTTAATATAAAAAGTCTACAGAGCCAATTTGTATTACATAATATATATATCAAATATCAAACAAATTTTTTGTAGCAATTTACCACAATTTCCACTAACAAATTTTCAATCATTTTCTCCGCACATCACATAAAATGTATATTGAAAATTCTGTTTGCAGGGTAACTTGTTCGTCAAACTTTAATTACCGCAATCTTCCACGTAAAGCTGCTTGATTTTGTAGTGTTCAGCGGTCTGTGTTTTCTTTTTCCCGTTTTGTTTTCCATTTTCATTCTGCAAAATAATAATGCGTATTTATGAGCAAACAACGAAATTATATTTACTTGCGTCGCTCCGCCAATATTTGCATGCAATTAATTTTCCAGGACCCAGCGACGAGGACGAGGACCACAACAACAGCAACGACAATGACAACAACAACAAAAACAACAATAGCAACAACAACAACCGCAGCAACGGCAGAAAATCAAACGAAGCGTAACGCAGCTTCCGCTGCCAAAAAGCATCTCCGCCCCTGCATCCACAACAATTTATTCTAAAAAGTATTCTTAACGAAGGAATCGAAGATAAATCGCTTCGTTGTTGTTGTTGTTGTTGCTGCTGCTGCTGCTGCTGCTGCTGCTGCTCGGGTTGTTGTATCTGCTGATGTTGTTGATGGCGCCGATAACGATGCGCCAACTTTGCTAAAGTTACCACGCCTAGCTTACCATCTGCCGTGTCCGTTGCCCCCTCCTCCCTCTACGCCTGTGCCTTCAGTTTCAGCTTCAGGCCCAACGCTAATGCCAGGCAACATTTTCTTAAAAACTTCGCTTGAAATGTTTCTACCGAGTTTTTTAATTAAATTTTCAAGCGCAAGACAAATAAAATGTGCAAAGTGCTGTGCATATAAATATATATACATACTCATATATATGTACATAGGGAGGCTATTGCAATTGGGCTCAAACAAAATGAAGCCATTTAAGCAGTAATACATGCAGCTCATTTCCTTTTCAGTCCTTTTGCGGATCAGCTTATTTGATTTTTTATGTTATCAAATATATATATATATATATATATATATATATATATATATATATATATATATATATACATATTTTTTCCTGTTTGTGGTAGCACTTAAATTAATTTATTGCTCGGCCACGTTGCATACACATTTCGTAAAGCCCATATCAATGGCCGGGATATACCCAAATAAATTAATGTTCTAAGCACAACAAAAAATTGTAAATCAATATTATTTGGTTAGGGTATTTGGAGGTAATATATGTCTGTGAATACCTTAGTTGGTAGGTTACAGGTGTGTAAGCAAGACAGTGAGATGCAAATTGGTTTCTATCTGTTATGAATGTAATGGGATCTGAAAGACGGAAAATATCTATAGGTAAAACATATTGCAACAGCTACAATTTCAATTTTGATTTTCATTTTGTGTGCTTAAAATAATTATTATCATTTTTTCTATACATTTATCGGAGTGGTTAAGATACAAATAATTTGAATGAAACGGATATAACATTTCAATAAAAAAAATATTGATGTATATTTTGCTTATATTATTTATAGATGCATGAATTTTTCTCCTTTTTTTTTTTAAATATTTCTTTCATTTATTTATTTTGATATTTCTATCAAAATTCCGTCTATCAATACCGAAAAAAATGAACAATCAACTTTTTTAGAGCTTCTTGCAATCTATTGATTGATGTCTAGCGCAGCATAATAATCTTAAATACACCTTAGAGCATTTTAGGTTCGGCTTTACAGGGCTCGCTTGTTCTTCCTTTTTCGGGTTTCATTTTTGCCTTTTATGTATATTTTTTTCTTTTTTGGAACATTGGCTTTGTGCAGGTTTTTTCGCGCTTATATCGTTGAATTTATGACATGAAATGTTTGAACATTATTTTTGGGGCGTTTTATCTGCGACCAAGTTTCTGGCTAAAGGTAGGCGTGGGCGTGGGCTGGGCTCGTTAGGCGTGGCATGTGCGTGTTATGAGACACAAACGCACACATACACACACACACACACACGTAGAAAGCCATGTAAATATGCTTATTGTTTATACTCGTATATGAAAGCGCAATATGTTTGACAATTTGTAGATTTATGCTCAGAAATTTACATTTTTTATACGTCGCTGTTGTTGTGGTTGTTGTTGTTGTAGTTGCTTACTAGTTGAGCAGCCAGAGTCTGGGATTTGGCTTTGAGATTTGTGTTCGCATATTGAATGCATACCTCTGGGCACCCACTGGCTGCCATTTATCAACTCCTGGGCCAAACATAAAATTGCACTTATGCAGCAGAGCAGCCAAGGCAGCCAAAACCAAGCGACCGAACAAACAACCAAACAACTAAACAACCATAACCGAAAAACCCAGTCAAGTGCATGTGTCCTATACAAAAAGCATATATGCATTCACACACACACACACACACACACACACCACACACACACACACACATGTGAGGATATGTGAATAGATGTGTATGTGGATGTGTGTATGGATGTGTTTCTTGAGTCCTTTTCGTCCTGCGCCTCTGTGGCAGATACAACCGCATAAATTGCTTTAGCACCAAAGGGATTTGTGTCAAAATCAGACCAAAAAACCCCTCAAAAAAAAAAAAAAAAAAAAAAAAATCAAATAAAAAAAAAAAAGCAGAGCAAAAGGAAGCCAACGCAAAGACAAGAAGCATTTGGCCCATGAGAAATATTGCCTGCTTTCAGGATGATGAATTCATGCTACTCTAGGATATTTTAAGGCTTCTACGGGATGTTTTGATGATGGTTATCAAGG